GCTCGGCCTTCCAGCTCTCTTTGAGTAGTAGAAGTTTCTCCATCACATGGAGCTCATTGCTTTTATGAACAAGTGTCTCGAAGACTGCCCAAAATTCTGGAAAATCTTCTGAGTTACCATAGAATTTCGGTAGGCTGGCTTGTGGAGGTTTGATGGACCTACAAGTGTTCATTTTGTTGGTATTTTTCTGTAATAAATCTCGCTCAAAAATAGGTGCAATAGATGATGTGCTGTTTTCCGCAGGTTCAGTGTTGATTCTATCCTCATTTGGACTTGTTTGCAATTTGTGGTTTGCTGGCTCATTGCTCTTCAATCTGTGCTTTTGAGTAACGTAACCAAGTTTCACGTTCATTCGGTCTCTGGCGCACTTTGCTTCATCGAGCCGTGCCTTTAACATGAAACATAAGTCCTCTGATTCGGCCATTACTATGTTCAAGCCCGACTCATCCTCTATTTGCTCGATTTCCGTCGCTATTTCTTTTTTCTCTCTCTGTTTTTGTTTTGCAGTTTTTATACTCTTCTTTTATTTCCTTGTGCCTTCATTTCCAGTTTTTCTTGGCCACATTTTATTTGCTCTAGGCCACTTTGCAAAGTGCTATTGTGGTGGAGTCTACATTTCCTCATTAACTGGTGCTAACTTAGTTGGGGGGGGCCACGCGGCGGCGCGGCAGTCTGCTCGCCTGGCATCTTCGGAAATCCGTGGGCCAGGGGGAGTGTAGCCAGTCTAGGGGGGTGGGGGGTGGGGGCAGTCACTTGACATGCGTGAAAAGCTGGAATGTTCGAGTTTACACTGTCTCGTTCGAGAGAGCCCAGGTGAGCAGACTGCCGCGCCGCCGCGTGGCCCCCCCCCCAACTAAGTTAGCACCTCATAATTTTCCTCATCGATTACAGTGAAATCTGTTTTTGAGGTGTACTCTTTGTAGCGGAGTACTAAACTCTTGAGCGTTTTAGCACTCAGAATGATAGGCATCTTGTGGAATAAAAGTGCCATTTTTGATCTATTTGTTTGCGTATTTCTTTTTTGAAATACTTACTTTGCTATTAATGTAGCAAATTGACTCCAGGTACTATGACGGGAGATTTAGTCTGCTTTGTTTGCAGAAGAGTTGCTCCAGGTACTGTGACGGGAGACTTATGAATCAAAAGATTCGAGGTCTTAGATTTGACCTTATGAAAATTTGCTCAATGAGCTAGTCTCGACTCCAGGCCTCAAAGTTGCGACGCTTTGACACGGGAGAATTGGCGTATTTAAGCCGATGCACCAAGCTGTTGCGGGTGACTAGAGACTTCGGGTTATGTTGGACCCTTTTAATGTCACCTTGCGGTGGTTCAGTGGATTTGATGAATGAGGAAAACTATGTACAGAGAGAAGAGTTGAACGCCTTTATTGTATGGCTGCAAGAGAAGGTATATATGATTGTAGCATCTGTTTCTGCTTGTACAGTATGGGCACGCCCCGCCAGACGTGAGGTCGTGAGGGAGTCATCGCCAGCTATGCGCAGGCGATGACCTAACATTGCAAGTGGTATGAGAGAGTTATGGTGGTCAGCTCAATGTAACTACACTTGGCGCCCCTTGACCATATTGATTCCGGCCACCCTTAGACCATGATCTTGCTTTCTTCATTTTTCCTTTCTCAATACGAAGTTATACGACGTAGTTTGCGCCTCCATGATAAGCAACATGCGTGTGTGTAGATGTCCAGCGCTTCTCTGGTAGATCTCTGGTCACAGAAAAATCGAGTGTTGACTCTGATATCATCGTAGATGGGATAGGATTTCTTTGTCAGGAGATGGACGAAGGAGAGCAGCAGGTGGCATGCTGGCACGAGGTCAGGGCTACATATAAGGCGGAGGAGAGCTGGCTGCTTGAGTCTTCAAATAACTTCTCCTGAGCTTTCTTCGCACTATGAACTTTCAAAGCAATGTCATAAAAAGATTTTTTTTGAAAAGCGTCGCGACTGTGAATGTGTTAATTTCCGCCTTGAGTGCCGCACGGCTTCAAGCAAATAGGCTTTCGCACGTTCTCCACGAGTACGAGGGGGGGAGGGTCATTTTCTAGGACATGGAGCGTTATTTTATGACGCCACTTTTCAAGCCGTCTTGGCCACCACGCGTCTCCTCTGAGATACGACCGCCCTGCCCCTGTCGTTCGCCCCCGCAATAGCGACTCCCCCTTCGATTGGTTGCTTTATGCGGCAATCAGGTCGTTGAACCGGTGCGGAGACCTATATTTCTCAGAAGCATTGTAAATTACCAGCAAGCACTGCATCAGAAGACTCTCGTGTTCACTAAAAACAAATTCCCAGAACGCGAAGGGATCTACACTTTGCCCGACAATGTCGTGTGCATACTGGCGGTATTACCACTGGCCCTCAGCGCACAATCTGAGAATCATGATGAAGCATAATGTTGGGCGAAGCCGTCCGACCAGAGGAATTGATCAAGTAACTTTTATTTGGCCCGATTTGCTGTTCGATCGTTAGGCGAGGTATGGTTTAAAGAAGTTTACATGACATACATTGCAACTCATCACGATACTAACACCTTCTTCAGGAAAATGGAGGACTTTCAAATGCGAGTGCGACTTCTGCCCACAGACAGGTGCACGGCGTATACCCGAGCAGGCGTTTTCCCATAAAAACGCCTTCTCTGTCAGCGGCCGTAAGCAGACAAACTTCCTGAAGAGAATTTCGATGCTTTCAAATCAAATCTAAGCGGAACAAAGTGTAGCGAATTTGCTGAATTGAGTTCTAGAGACCCCTTAGGAAAATTGAGGCAGAAGAAAGAATTTCAGGAAAATTTCACAGTTGTTATGAAGTACTCTTCGAGTGGATTCCAACAATCTTTACCGCTTCTCATCACATTAATTTTGAAGGAAGTTATGGGCCTTTGAAGACTGCATAGTCGCGGTCCAGGAAAATGGCTTGAAAAAAATCAAGGTGGAAAAACGGAACAACGGGACTATTTTTTGAGCGAGTGATTATTTCAAAAGTTTTAGCACTTATTCGAAAGCTCTAATCTTCTAGTTTCTAATTAGCCTTAGACATCTGCAAAAAGTTGATTATGAAGAAAGTTATGAACGTTTGAATGTCGAAAACTCGCGCCTTCTCAAAAATCGGACCACAAACCCCCCAAAAACGGAACAACGGGACTATTTTTTGAGAGAGTGATCGTTGGAAAATTTTAGGTGCTTGTTTGGAAAAGCACTAACACCTAAATCTTCTAGTTTCTATAAGCCTTATGACATCGCAAATAAGTTGAATTATGAAAGAAAGTGATTCGTACTAACTTAGTTGGGGGGACCACGCGGCGGCGCGGCGCTTTGCTTCCTGGCGCTGATCCCCGGGCGGAGAGATATAGTGTGAACTCGAACATTCCAGCTTTTCACGCATGTCAAGTGACTGCCCTCACCCCACCCCCTAGACTGCCTACAGTCCCCCTGGCTCACGGATTTCCCGAAGTACGCAAAGATGCCAGGCGAGCAAAGCGCCGCGCCGCCGCGTGGTCCTCCCAACTAAGTTAGCACCGAAAGTGAATGTTTGAATGTCGAAAACTCGCGTGTGCACAAAAACGGAACAACGGGACGATTTTTTGAAATATTGAACATCCACAACATTTCAAATACTTTTTAGGAAGAAAACTATTTGAATTTTTAAAATTTTGGTGTCCGGTTCCATGAGACCGCTTCTGAAAAAAATATAACCTTCTGAATGGAGGGGTTTGGATTGCAACGTAATTGCTACAAGGTTTAGTTTTTCAGATTATAAAATAAGGAAAATTGAGAGATCGAAAAAAACCTGGTAGGTTTCTGAAAGTAGAAATCTTTACGATTAAAATGATGTATTGGTTTACGCAAAAATTTGGAAATTCCTTCTATTTAATGAATAAAACTTCATGTTGCCTCGATTCCTCCTCTGAGCGAGACAGAGCGCGCGGATTGACCACGGTCCACCACTTCTCCATGTTGGTGACTGCCCACACATCATTGATGAGCATTAAATTATGTGAAAGACATGATAGTTAATATGGGGGGTCGTACCGATACCCTCCGAAAAGGAAGGGGGTCGTAAAAATTTTGGAATTTGCGCAACGCAGGGTTGACCCTGTTCTAAAGCCCACACATCAGGCGGTTTTGGTGACGTCATAGAAAGTTATTGGGGAGGGCTTTAAGAGGTGGTCACAACCAATGACGTTCAGAACCATTCGGAACCGCAACCCTCTTTCCATCGCTATCGCTGCCTTTAAGCCTCGGCCATGAGCTGATAGTAGCATTCCTATAACGGTGTA